GACATATACACACACATATATGGAAGCACAAGACTAATTGCTTCAAATTAGCGCCTTTATGCTCAGCCTGGTTGCTCTGTCCCTTGGCCATGGCCAACTAAGCACTTGCTGACCATTGACCATGTGCCTTGGTCTTGGACCACGTCTCGGCCTCCTCGTTGCGTGTGCAGGCCAATTATATCATAGGGCCACTGCATGCACACACAATATACAATATGGATGGCCAGGCGAGTGTCTCTGGCGCCAGTTTTGTAGCCACAGTCAAATCGAATGCCAGTTGTCGCACTTTAAGTTTGCGTGCCAAGAAACAAATGTTTATACGATTTTCAAGATCAGAATGCCGATTAGAATTATACTTCAGTTAAGATATTAGATATCAAGTTGAGAATGCATTTTCCTATTTCTTTGGAATTGACAGCGAAAATCTCGGTATCTCAAGGGAATGTAAGATTATAATATTAATTGAATATAAAAATTATAAATAATATTAAATATATAAAATATATGTGTATAAATATATCTCATGATAAAGGGATAATAAGATTATAATATAAATTAAATATGAAAATCATAAATAAATTGAAAATATTTATATAATATATATCGCAAGTTAACGCGATATTAAAATGATAATATAAATTAAATATGAGAATAATAATTAAAATTATAATATGTTGTGGAATAATCTCGAAAAAACTCATCATCATCATCAAGTGAGCTTTTTACCTAATTGTCTCTAGAATAAGAAACCGAATGTTCTGGATTATGTACATGCATACGTAAACATAGAAGCATAAGGAGACATCCAAAACATTCGATACGTAATAGAAATAAGTATATAAGCATGCTGTAAATCGAGCCAGAAGTCAGTCTGTAAGTTCATTGTGCAAGATCAATGTCAGTGTGTCGGCTCGGTCAGTTCAAATCGTCGCGGTACGTGAAGTAGTGTACTTGTTACTGAATATTTTTGTTGTGTTAAATAAACTTATTGCGTTGCACCTACATTTACCGTGTCTCATTTAAAAGATAACCCTCAACATAATATAATATAAAAAAATATGAAAATGAAAATAAATAAAATTATAATATAATATAAATTAAACATGAAAATCATAAAAAAAATTTAAGAAATTTGTAACTATATATATAATTATTTACAATTTATTGAGTTCAAATATTAACTTAATAGATGAAATTTTATTTTTAAATTTAAAAATATGTTTTTTGCAATCTTAAGAATATAAATATATATATATATTTTTTTTTCAATTTAATTTGTTATATTCTGTTACATATCAGCCCCTAAAATGCATTATAAATTAATTTTAAGAGATGAACAATTTTTTGTAGCTCTCAAAATTTTTTAAAGTTTCTATTGCAGGCTGACTAGAAATTAACGACATTTTTTTGCACAACCTCAAGCTCAATCATTGCTAGCTTTGGCAATTATTTATTATATTTAACTGTCTGAAATTTATTCGCTGCTAATTAAATTGTCGTTATGTTCAGCTGCAGCAGGCCAAGAAATCAAAGTTATTCAGTTAAGCCCAGCCAAGGCTATAAATCAAAAGTTTTGCCAATAAGCAAAAAAAAAGTACAACGATGAATTTGTTACGAATTCGAATGCGAGGAGCAGGAAGCTCTTGTTGCCCCGTGGCAGCAACAACAATTTATGCCACTTAAACTTAACACCTCGCTGATTGCCTGACGAAGCGTGGCAAATCGTTTATTTGAATTATATTAATTTTCTCGCTGTTTTTTGCGCCTAGCGAAAATTTTTTAAAATTTTTTGTAGATGTATTTGCTGCGCTTGTTTGCATTTTGCGATTTGTAATTGCTGTTGTTGTCGTTCTTTTTTTTTCTCTTTAGTTGGACAACATGGAGACGACAATTTTGTGTCGCTGTGTTGTCAGGACAACAACTTGGGGGAAAAAACCAGAATGAAAATAAATAAAACTGGACGCGTAATAATAAATGAGAAGTGGAAAAGTTTAGCAGCCAACGTGCTTATTGTCAAGCTCTCGGCCAGGCCATAAAAAACAAACTTCAATAGCAATAAGGCGACAAAAACGACGACAACAACAGCAACAACAATCACAAACAGCCCAAAAGCACAACGGGCAAAAAAAAACAAAAAAAGTTCAAGGCACTGACTTTATAGCTGCAATAATGCCTGAGAGGCAACGCTGCGGGGGCGTCTGGCTGTGCCAAGGTGAGCCCAGCTCGCCCAGCAAAAACAAAGCGAAGCCGCGCTGCAGCTGAACAAAGAGAGAGAGAGGGGGAGAGAGAGAGGGAGGGCAGGTAGGCTGGCTGGGGGCATGTCGCGGGTCACCTAACGTGTTGAGGCACTTTGCCCAGCTAACGAAATGTAACAAAGTGCCGCAGCACAGTCTGCTCCATTGTCCACCGTACAGTTGAGCCGCCGTCCGCATCCGCATCCGCATCCGCATCCGTATCCGCATCCGTGGCCGTGTCGCTAACGGGCCAGGTTTGTTATGTGGCTTATGCCGGAAATTTGTATTTAGACCCTAGAGTTGTTGTTTTTCTTTTTCCTTCTTTATATTTTTTCATTTTTTGCGGCTGTTTTGTTGCCAAAACGTCTGCGCCCTAGGTCTGTTTCAGTTTTCGTCAGGAGCTAGAGCGATATGGCTTACGTTGTAAGTTTAACACCAGAAGTTAAATAATCACTGATTTATTTTGTAATTTAACTCAATAAATAACATTAATAGCTAATGTGATTTATAGTATTCTATTATAGATCAACATACAATAATACTTGTGCATTTATTTATTATTTACATAAATTTCGTCAAC